TTCCTCTTCAGCATAAGGCAGCATGACCTCTTCAAGTATTCTGATGTATTCAAACTGATCCATGATCCCTGGTATGCGATAAATAGGCCCAACACCGTAGTATGAGAAACACCCCCATATCATGATGCTTGCGCAACCATGCTTCACTGTCTTCACAGTGTACTGTGGCTTGAATTCAGTGTTTGGGGGTCACCTGACAAACTGTCTCCGGCCACTAGACCCAAAAAGAAACAATCTTACTTTCATCAGTCCACAAAATGTTGCGCCATTTCTCTTTAGGCCAGTCAATGTGCTCTTTGGCAAATTGTAACCTCTTCAGCACATGTCTTTTTTTCAACAGTGGGACTTTGCGGGGGCTTCTTGCAGATAGCTTGGCTTCACATAGGCGTCTTCTAATTGTAACAGTCCTCACAGGTAACTTTAGACCTTCTTTGATCTTCCTGGAGCTGATTGTTGGCTGAGTCCTTGCCATTTTGGCTATTCTTCTATCCATTCAAATGGTAGTTTTTCACTTTCTTCCACGTCTTTTAGGTTTTTGGTTGCCATTTTAAAGCATTTGCAATCATTTTAGCTGAGCAGCCTATCATTTTCTGCACTTCTTTATATGTTTTCCCCTCTCCAATCAACTTTTTATTCAAGGTACGCTGTTCTTCTGAACAATGTCTGGAACAACCTATTTTCCTCAGAATTTCAGAGAGAAATGCACTGTAACCAGCATGTACAACATTTGCTGCCTTCCTTTCTTAAATAAGGGCAATAATTGCCACCTGTGTTTCAAAGCATGAATGACCTCACTAATAGAACTCCACACTGCTATTATTTTGAACATGCCCCTTTCAATTAGTGATTCAATTACACAGAATCAGCAGCATGCATGTCATGACTGTTGGGTCTGTTGGATTTCTATTACTCTACTACACCTGCTAGTAAATTATTTGCCATGTAGAAATATCATTTCTACCAAAAACAGTGATTGATCAGGTTAGTGATGTCTGACTGCTATTATTTTTGAACACAACTGTACATTGTAATACATCCATAGAAAAACAAAGGCTGTAAACTTACCACCTTTTTGTTCCTCATTTTTGTAAGTGTCTGTTTTCAATCTATTTCTGTAAGATTAATGAATTTAACATTTAAAATGCTAGAAAATATACATACATTTGCAATAAATCAGTAGTTAATGGTTCTGACAGCTTATTGGCAGAAGAGGGGAGGATTTGGCATTGCTATTTCTGTAGCAGGATGGAGTATACAAAACAAAGTGTTAGTTTAGTATTGGTGCATAGCTTAGGGTTATGTGAGGTTATGTTATTAGAAATCAGTGCGTTTGGTTAAAGGGTTAGGCTTAAAGTAGAACTAAAGGCAAAACCTTTTTTATTTTAGACAGAGCAAGAGAGTATTATTTCCCCTTCAACATTCACTTGGCTTTCTGAGTCCCACTGGAGAAATTTCCCTTTGCTTCCTGTCCCACAGCCAAAACAGGAGGTGAAAGGAAATCCCTCCATAGTGAGGGAATCCTAGGATGTCACCAGAACTAATGTCCCCATTGAAAGACTTCCCCTCTAGTCCTGCTCTGGTGACAACCCAAAATTTTCTTTCACTGTAGGCGAGAACAGGACCAAAGGATGAATCTTTAACAGGAGCACAAACAGTAATAAAAACCCTGACAGGTATTCTATTCCCTCTCCACTCTATCCAAAACTAAAATAATAAAAAAAAAAAGGTTTGCCTTAGTTCTACTTTAACATATTAGGCTTAATTTAGGAGCCAAGATGAGAGGGTGAAGGTTGAATAGTATGGTCGGGTGTTACATGTTAGAATGTCCTGATAGCAACTATTGTATAAGGCCAAATCCTGCGTTTAAATGAGTTTTTGAAATTATTGACAGACATGGTGTTCAATTATACCATAATTTGGGGTTAAACCTTTATTGTTGTCAAAGCATAGTTTTTCAATAATCTCTTTCCCCCACTTGTGGTACCTTGCCAAAAGTAGTATCACATTCCTTCTAGAGAGATCCTGAGGAATCAGACAAGCCAAAATCTCACGAGAAGGCACTCTTGCAATCTACTGGAGTGTCTTCTCACAATATCTGGCCTGCTTCACATTCCCCAAGAATCTTCCCAATAGGACACCAACATCAAACCCAGTGATGTGGAAGATGGGGGAATAAAATGAACTTTTTTCTTCACAGGTATCTCTTGATCATATCAGCAGGTAATATTTACAGAGGGTGGATGTCGGGACATTACAAGCAATGTCAAACTGCAATGCAAGGTCCCCATTAAAAGTGATTTTCACAATTTAATCACTTGTCTACTGGGCACTTCCAACCTTTTCCTGCCCAGACCAATTTTCACCTTTTAGCGCTGTCAGTCGCACTTTGACAATCACGCAGTCATGCAACATTGTACCCATATGAAATTTGTAAATGTGTTTTCACACAAATAGAGATTTCTTTTGGTGGCATTTAATCACCACTGGGATTTTTATTTTTTGCGCTATAAATGAGAAAATACCAAAAAATGTGAAAAAAAAATCATTTTTCTTCATTTCTGTTATAAAATTTTGCAAATAATATTTCTTCATAAATTTAGGCCAAACTGTATTCTGCTACATTTCTTTGGTGAAAATAACCCAAATCAGTGTTTATTATTTAGTTGGAAGGAAAGTTATAGAGTCCACAAACTATGGTATATATCTAAAAAGTGATAAATCCTGATGTACCGACAGTCTATCTAATTTCTTGAGGCCCAAGAATGCCAGGACAGTACAAATACCCCACAAATGACTGCTTTTCGAAACGTAGACAGCCTGAGGCATTTAGTAAGTGGCATGGCAAGTTTTTTGACTTTCTCATTGTTTGTCAAAATTTTGTGGAAAATGCAGAAATTAAAAAAACTGACTGGCGACAGTATGTAAAAAAAAATATTTTTTTTTAAAATTTGTTTTAAAATTATTACTTTTTTAATGATTTTGTTTTCTACTCCTGTGACTAGAGCAATACAATGTTACCATAGTAACATTGTACTACACTGGACATCATTATGATAGCTTATACCAATAAATTTCATTGATATATGCAAGCATTTTTACTGAATGAAATGGATTAATTCAGTAGTTTTTGTTGTGATCAGCTGTGATTCGCCACAGCTGATCACATGTTACAGATGGGCTGTGATTGGCCCAGTCTGTACATTTGACCACTGTGACCAATCACAGCTAGCAGCACAGTTGTAAGCAATGAATGGCATGAAAGGACACCGGATCTTTCCTCTGAGGATGTGCTTGGCACGCAACGGGTTCTTAAGGAGGAACCAATGCGCACCTTGACGCCACGTCCGTCGGAGCACTTTGAGCTCACGCAGTCCACAACATTGTACCCATACGGTTTGTAAATGTTTTCCGCAAATAGAGATTTCTTTTGGTCATTTTTATCACCACTAGCGGTGTGCATTTTTTGCGCTATAAATGAGAAAATACCAAAAATGGAAAAAATCATTTTTCTTCATTTTGTTATAAAATTTTGCAAATAATATTTTTCATAAATTTAGGCCACCATGGGCTTCTGCTACATTTTTTGGTGAAAATAACCCCTCCTCAGATGCCGCTGTTATTAATTTAGTTGGAAGGAAAGTTATAGAGTTTCCTTTGGTGGATGGTATATTCCTTGATAAATCCTGATGTACCGATTGTCTATCTAATTTCTTGAGGCCTTCACTGAATCCAGGACAGTACAAATACCCCACAAATGACTGCTTTTCGAAACGTAGACAGCTCTGAGGCATTTAGTAAGTGGCATGGCAAGTTTTTTGACTTTCTCATTGTTTGGCAAAATTGTGGAAAATGCATTTAAAAAAACTGACTGGCGACAGTATGTAAAAAAAAATATTTTTTTAAAATTTGTTTTAAAATTATTACTTTTTTTGGCCTGGGCCTTCCCTTCTACCCCTCCCTCAATATTTTTGTAACATTGTACTTTTACTGGACTCATTATGATAGCTTTACCAATAAATTATCATTGATATTTTGCAAGCATTTTTACTGAATGCAATGGATTAATTTTAGTATTTATGTTGTGAATCAGCTTTTCGGCTGATCACATGTGTACAGATGGGCTGTGATTGGCCCAGTTGTAATTTGACCACTGTGACCAATCACAGCTTTTTCTTGTAAGATTGGCATGAAAGGAAGCCATTCATTGTTTACAACTGTCATGTGATCGCTGTAACCAATCACAGCAGATCACATGAAACTGGCAGGGGGCCGGTGTAGTGATCTGTAATTGCGCCAAAGCATGGCCCGTGGGGAGCACGCGAGGTGTGATCCTGGGAGGATGTCATAGGATGTCCTGCCAGGATAATAGGGATCCTGCTCAGCCGTCATCCTACAATAGGCCTGGTTGGAAGGCGTTAAGGACTAAATCCAAGATTGTTGCCTATTCAATATTTCATTGCTTCTCTGATCAGCAATGATTCTTTTTCAGACTCCCATCTCCATGACAAGATTTGAAGTATGGAGATATGGTAGCATCCCTATACCACCAAAACCATTTAAAAACAAAGACCAAAATTCTGGCCAGCAGTAAAGAGAGATAGGCAGTTATGATCTGATATGATAGAATGCAATTCTATGTTCCACGATCAACTGTGTTAGATTCAGTGACAAGAACAACCTACAGAAGAAAATTCTGCAGCATTAGATAAAATATTGCCCAATATAGACTATATATCTAATAACAAAGGCTTCATCCAGTTTTAGGTATTGATGCACAGACATCACCCACCCCAACCAGTATGTTATCAGTGTAGGAGAACCTACCTTCGTGCTATACATATACAGATCCCAGTTACAATTAAACACAGCACCAGAACCACTGCGACGAGGACAACAATGAGTTTCCACCCTAAATTGGAGACAAGGAAATTATTTATTTCTCCGAGAAGAAAATGTTGCTGGATAAACTGTGAAGTTCACACAAAATTTATTTTTTTAATTTATATTTTTATTTTAAACATTTCTTTCAGAAAGAGATGCATACCAAAGTCATTTTCTTCTGAAGGAACTGGCTCAGTAATGTTCTCTTCCTCTTTTACTGGTGTTTTGGCCCTCTTTTCATTTGCCTTCTTCCACATAGGGTGGGTGGAGGAGTTGTGAGCTGTGGGGAAAAAACATGGATTAGCTGTGATAACAAATGTGTTACTGCACCTACTGGTCAAGGTTAAAGGCCTGTCATATGCATCGCATCAGAACAAAGTCTTAGAGTTGGAAATGCCTGTCCCCTGGCATGCGGTAAAGAAGAACTCCTAATCTCCATGTGGAAGCAGTGATCTCTGCAGAGGTCCAAGTGTCCCCCGCTGAGCCAGGGCTAGAGCTCTCCAAATCAATAAGGAGTGTGAATTTTAATGATAGCAGACCAATTGGTGTTACTCAGCAGGGGGCATGTTTGACCACAGCTTTCACACAGAGAGCAAATGTCTTACTCTACAGCAGTGTTTTTCAACTGGGGTGCTGCAAGGAGTCCTCAGGGGTGCTGTGGCAACAGCCCAATCTGTTAACTCCTGGGATAGAAGAGAAAGGAGAGCACAGTCAACTCCAGTGTACAGAGGCGGCAGAGAGCTCAGCCCACACCTCCTCCGGTCCTCCCAGCAAAACAAAGTCAAGCTGGCCAATCTACTGTGTCCTACCAACCAATGATGTCAACAGATGCTAAGGACACGTCGGGTGGCCAGCTTGGCTGTGTTTTGCTGGCAATAGTACAGAAAGGGGGAGAGAGCTGGGAGGAAGTGTGGGCTGAGCTCTCTGCCTCCTCTGTACACAGGAGTTAACAGTGCTCTCCTCCCTCTTTTATTCAGATCAGATTGTACAAGAGAGAGGAGCTTTGGAGGGGGGGAAGAGCACAACCCACACCTGCTGGCTCTCTCCTTCTCTGCAGCTGTCTCTACTCCTATAGGGACAGTAGGAACAGAAGATGTGCTAGGAGGGAGATTTGTGGGAAGGGCAAATGGGGTTGTAGGGAGAGGGGTGCTAGAAGGAGGGATTTGAGGGAGATTTTTGCTGGAAGGGAGGATTTGTGCTAGGAGGGGGGATTTGTGCTAGGAGTGGGGATTCGGGGGCAAAATACTTACCACAAATCACGTTTTCCTATACTGCACAAAAATGTGCTTCCTTTTGCAGAAGTGTGTGGATTCCATAAATTCGTAATGGCACCCCCATGCATTAAAAAAAATATAATGTGCTGGAGCATGCAAAAAAGTGTGCACATTTGAATATACCCTCCTGGTTTAAATGCACCTCCTGGTGTGAACAAGCCCTCAGACTGGTGTACCCCAGGACTGTACAATACTGAAGGATGCCTTGACTGAAAAAAAAGGTTGCAAAACACTGCTCTACAGCATGCTGGTAGGGCAGAGGATTTTCTACAGGCTGGTGCTGCTTTTTTGGACAAGGACTCTAAGACCTTGAATACCGTTTGTTTTAATGCACTTTGAATGTATTTAGCAGATTTAAACTGAAAGTTCAGTTGAGCTTTAAGGCGTTACTAGCAAATACAGATAGTGATATTTAGGAATAAACCTATAGGGACGATACCAATAATATTCTGTATTGTATTACTGGTAATTCTGCTCTCCAAAGTTTTTTTTTTTTTTACAGTTTATAACACCAGTTCACCTATTCCTATCTTGTAATACTTTCAGTTTAATTGGATGTTGTTGCTTTTGTGTATTGCATTCCACACAGAACAATGCAGTATAAGTGCTGTTCCTTGTACATACTCTGTGTAAGAGCACATCCCATAAGTTCCACTTTCATAGCAATCCTTTGGTTCCAAGTGCGTGGTATGATACGGAGAGCTCGTGCCACAACAGGAGGAATTAAGTTGTTACGAGTCTGATCTTGATAGTCTGAGTTCCCCTCCAATACCTATTGAACAGCACAATACATACTTTACTTCACTATATAATAGTCACACAAGTCATTACAACATGAATATATTACAAAAGACACATTGTGAGCTTAGAGTCACATTTTTTCCAGATAAAAATATAGTTCTGCATGTTCTGTCTTTAGCAATCTGTCAAGATTTGTTTCTTGTATATACTAGAGACAAGAAATTCAAGTGATTGCATCTGACAACACAGTACTTGTGCTTTAAGCTTTCATATATGAAACCCAAAAGAGGTTTGAAAGCATAAAACAATTTGAGAAACAAAATGTAAAGTTGGGATTATCCTGTAAAGGCATATATTTTAAGGTGAATCCACAGGCGGTCTGGTTATCTGGCATGACCCATACTGTACATCATCAATCCTGAAGGGCCACGATGCTTGGTGCTAAAAAGCTCAGTGTCTGGTCCCTTAAGGTGGCCAAGAATTGCTCCAATGACCATACACTCGAATCAATATAGGCTCGTTTCCACTATCTAATATATAGTAATTAACCTGCGCCCAGGACAAGTGAGCAAATAATGTGTGCTTAATGACTTTACAATAAAGTGAAACAGTGAATTAGTAGGCTGCTGCTTCTACAAAGGTATAACCTTCTCCAATAAACAACATACATATGAAAGAGCTGCCCAAAAACAATTGATGAAAAATAGCATGAACTAGATAACCATTATACATAAATTCAATAAAATGAATAAAGTCCTTCATGTGAAAATAATAAATTGGTGCATGTGCTTCTTCCACAAACAATACGTGATTCGAGCTCTGTGTTCCCCACTAACTCACCAGCTGTATTGGACTCTGATAAATGAAACAAAAGTCATTCACGCTTTGGTGAGGCATGTGGAGTTCTGCTGAGTCTTGTAGTTCTCCTATCCACTATCCTTTCCACTATCTGCAAAAGACGTTCTTCTACAAAAGCGATCCACGCTCATGACATGTTGCCTCCTTACCTCCCGTTTTAGCCCCTTAAATGCCACACTACCATGCTGCAACCTAACCACATGCATTGCTTTCAATTGCAGGGTGGTTGCAGCATGGCTCCATTCACTTGAATGAGTTGTGTTTAGCATGCAGTACCTGGCAAACGTGAAAAAGATAATTTCTACTGTGGTCATGATGCTTCTACATCCCCAGCCGCTGCCTTTGCAACTAAAGGTGAAGCACTTGGTAAATAAGTGGCTCGACACATAGTTTTAATGCCCCTAACTGGTACTGTAGATGAGCCCTTAGGCTATATTCACATGAGCATACTGTGTGTGTGTTTTATTTAAATACAGAATGGATCTGAGCACTATAAATAAACTTCACAGATCACTTTCTCCAGTGTTTAAATGTACTTTGCCTTTAGACATATTCAGAGTATCTAATCTGGCCATCAATACATAGAATTCTATTTTCTCTAAACACAATTAAAGCAAACAAATTTAAAATGCATGTAAATCACACAGTGTACATTCAATCATTTCAATATACTGAATGCATTTATATGTATGCAATAAAAAAATGTCCTACAAATGCACATAAATTTATTTAACTTCATATATTTCACTGCCCATGTTGATGAGGCTTTATAGATAGCTAGACAGGGTGCTAAATATCATTGGTGGACAATCATTTTGTAATGCTCTCCAGGCAATGTATGTAAACAGAAAAAAAAAAAGTGGAAAAAAAAAAAATCACCTTTTCTTCATTGTTCATTGCTCCCTTGTAAGTCCTCCACTTCAATCCATCTCTTGTAAAATTGATTATGTAAGATTTCACATAAAAGTTAAAGTTTGGCAATGTGGATCCTGTAGTGACAATACCTGAAACAAACCAAGGGAAAGGAATGTGTTTTAGTGAATAAAAAACAAAATAAAAAGGCTAGCTCTTCTCATTTCCAATAAGTGGTCATTTAGAAACTGGCATCTAACAGATCCAAATATACAGCAGGTAAAAGAAGTATTGAACACGTCCCCATTTTTCTAAGTAAATAGGTGAGGTTGACATGACATTTTCACCACATGTTGATAACAACCCATGCAATCCATACATACAAAGAAATCAAAACAAATGAGCTCAGAAAGTAAGTTATGTGTAATAAAATGGAACGACACAGCGAAAACGTATTGAACATGCTAACTGAAATGTATTTAATACTTTGTACAAAATCTTTGTTGGTAATGGCAGCATTAAGATGCCACCTCTATGGAGAAACTAGTTGCATGAATTGCCCAGGAGTGATTTTGGCCCATTCTTCCACACAGTCTTCAAATCTTGAAGGTTCTGTAGGACTCTTCTGTGAACTCTGATCTTCAGTTATTTGCATAGATTTTCTATTGGATTCAAGTCAGGTGATTGGCTGGGCCATTCTAGCAGCTTTATTTTCTTTCTTTGAAACCAATTGAGAGTTTCCTTGACTTTGTGTTTGGGATCATTGTCTTTTTGAAATGTCCACCCTCCTTTCAACTTCATCATCCTGGTAGATGGCAGCTAATTTTTAGCAAGACTGTCTTGGTACATTTTTCCATTCATCCTTCCTTCAATGATATGAAGTTTTCCAGTACCGTATGCTGAAAAAAAAGCCCCACACCATGATGTTCCCACCTCCAAACTTCACTGTTGGGATGGTGTTTTTGGGGTGATGTGCAATGCCATTTGACCTCCAAGCATGGTGTGTATTATGGCATCCAAAGAGTTCACTTTTTGTCTCATCTGACCAGACTATATTCTCCCAGTATTTCACAGGCTTGTCTAAATGTTGTGCAGCAAACTAAACAAGCTTCAACATTCTTTTTCTTCAACAATAGAGTCTTGCATGGTGAGCGTGAATACAGACCATGGCAGTTGAGTTCATTACTTATTATTTTCTTTGAAACAATTGTACCTGCTAATTTCAGGTCTTTCTGAAGCTCTCCACAAGTCATCCTTGGCTCTTGGACAACTCTTCTGATAGTTCTTTTCACTCCCCTGTCAGAAATCTTGTGAGGAGCACCTGGTCTTGGCCCGGTTTAATGGTGAAATGATGTTCTTATCACTTCCAGATTATGGCTCCAACAGTGCTCACTGGAACATTCAGAAGATTAGAAATCCTTCTGTAACTAATGTCATCAGTATGTTTTGCAACAATAAGGTTGCGAAGGTCTTGATAGAGTTCTTTGTTTTTACTCATTATGAGATGTTTCTTGTGTAATTGCTTGGTAATGAGACACCTTTTTATAGGCCATCAGTTGAGATGGAAACAGCTGATATTAATTTGCACTGAAAAGAGGCATGCTTGCTTTCTAATTACTGATAGATTTCAGCTGGTGTCTTTGCTTTCCATGCCTTTTTGCGCCTCCCTTTCTTCATGTGTCCAATACTTTTTTTCCTATGCCATTCCACTTAATCACAAATAACTTAATTTATGAACGTATTTGTTTTGGTTTCTTTGTAAATATACCTAGAAATTAAAATTTCTTTGGAAATATATTTACCTAGAAAAATGGTGACATGTTCAATACTTATTTTACCTGCTGTATCTATGAATAATGTTTTCTGTGCTGTGAACTATAACCCAGAAGATCCAAAAAAACAGCCATAAAGTGTATATACATATGAACAAGTTCCGTTTCCAACAACACATTCGTAAGTTCAATTTGTAGGCAAGTCCAACAAAGTAAGAGCTTGTAGCCAATGGCTGCAAGTGCTGATCGCTGTATTCTGGCAGACGGGAGTCCTCCTGTCAGAACAGAAAGCAAAAGATGAGGAGATTGCCACACCAACATCACTTGAGTTAGTACGGCAATCTGTCAGTTTTCTATCATTCGGCCTGCTGAATTGAATGAAGACTAACTGAGTGTGTGTATACCCAGCTTTACATGATTGGACATGTTCACATCTTTGAAAGTTGAACGTTCATATGTAGGGGACTTACTGACTTACTGTATAGGCAAAACAATTAGCTTTGGATAGAGTAGGGAAGGACTACAACCCTTGTCAATTTCTTTTTTGCTGTCTGTTTACTATTGGGGAAATTTCCCAACTCTTTCCTCTCAAAGTTGTTCCTTAAAGTAGATCTTTAGCTAAAAAAATAAAAATTGGCAGACAGGCAAAAATTTTAATGCAAAAGAGACATGCCTGTCTACCTCTGTACAGTGAGCTGCGCATGCGTAGCTCACTATACAAATTTGGCAATGCCAAGTCTGACGGAACTCCTGCACATGCATGGGAGTGATGTCATCCCTGCCCGCCAGTAACAGCGGACAGCGATCAAGACCCCGAAGCCGGCCGCTTGAAGATGTCAGTTCTGCTTTAAACAGGTGTCCCATTGGAAAATATCCTCTTTGTTCTGGGGACAACATTAACCTATTTGGATTTCCACTCAGTTTATTTTAGATGACAATGGGCACCAATAAAAATAAAAAAGGAAGGCTTTTCGCAATAAGGGTATAGACAGCAACAAAATCCTGAAGGGTCTTGATTTTAACCCCTCTCCACTATCCAAACACTAATTAAAAAAAAATTAAAAGAAAAAGTTTTTGCCTAAAGATACATTTTAATGACGAGCACTACACAGTAAATGCTAATCTTCACTGAAGAGGCCTATGCTAGGAAAGGAAATGGCAAAGATTTTTTTCCTAATTTTCAGTAGTGGAAATATGAATTACATCCGACAATTGAACATCATTACCAGTTATTTTCCTTCTGTCCCCCAGATCTATTTCTAGCCATTCACGGTCAGACTGATGACTGGAAGCCCAGGACAGCCCCTGGGTATTGGGTTGGGCCTTTCCCGGGGACCACACCATTGTCTCCCCATTCTCACTTCTCCATTCCCAGGATGAGGTAGCTGAAAATTTCTCTTCTCCATTCCCTGCAGTCAATGAAGTGCTGCAATCTTAAAAAAAAAAAAAAAAAAAAAAAAAAGAGAAGTAGAAATACATGAATTTCATTAAAACAATCTATAGGCATGTTAAAAACATGCCCATTCCTCTCACTTAATAAACCTTCCAAAAGTTATTCAAGGGAAAGAATGAGCAGTACTATCTTGTATAATATTTAGTGCCGCAGCAGTCTGCAGATTGCTCTAATCGTTCAAAACAAAGATAAAGCACAACTCCACCTGGATCCTGGTATGTTTAATAGAAAAGCCATAGATTTATTTCAGGTCCTGAAACTTAAAGTATATGTGAACCCTCACCTTGTAAAACAACCTAGTCATTTTAAAATGGAAATTGTGTGTGTGTGTGTGTGTGTGTGTGTGTGTGTGTGTGTGTGTGTGTGTGTGTGTGTGTGTGTGTGTGTGTGTGTGTGTGTGTGTGTGTGTGTGTGTGTGTGTGTGTGTGTGTGTGTGTGTGTGTGTGTGTGTGTGTGTGTGTGTTTTTAATACTTTTTTTTCTCTCATATATTTTGTTTATATAAGTGATCACATAATCTCTGTTCCCAGCTGTATGAAGGGGCTTAGAGAGTGGGGGTGGGATGAGGTAAACAGCAGTACACTAATTTTCCCAATGAATGGCTGTGCAAGTGATGTGTCAGCACAGGTCAGGGCCACTGGGGGATAGGCAGGCTGTTCTCCCAGTACAGACAGAAAACTGACCACACTGGGAAGGATGTGCCTCATTCTTAAGCTGGCCACACACGTATATATTTATGTTGGAGAATTTGTTTCAAGAATATTCATTTGATTTTCTAAACTTTAGTGGGGTCAAATCAATATTCATTTTCGACAGCAGTGACGGGAAAATTTGAAGGGGCAGGAAGGAAATCTTTTCTCAATCAAATGAAGTTTCGGCCAGTGTATGTGGTTATCATTCAGAAATTACATTACTTTTAAAGTCAAATGTTAAAAGCAAAAGACAATTTTTGAATGACATTTGTCCATTCACCGAATATTCTCGTCTGAAAATCTACATGTGTATAGGAAAGCAGAGAGGCTGGCATGAACATCAGGTATTTCACACAAAGGAAGCAATACAAAGAGAACAGGATATTTTTTTTCATACAAGTACAGCAGGCACATATTAGGAATATGAAATGTTGGGGTAACTTTTTTAAAACAAAGATCATATTGCCATGAGCCCAGACTTGCCTCCTTCCTACCTAGGAGTTTTAGCTGTTCCTGCCCACTTTTGTGTGGTTCAATGTCCACCACCCCCATTGCTTTCTCTATTACTGAAATATAAAAAATACAACAGAGAGAATAGGGGTTCCAGATATTGGCCACAGTAGACCGAGGAATTCAAGCACAATGACCTCACCAACAGAGTCCCTGAGATACTATATATCAAATCGTCAGGTAGTGTGGTTCCTAAGAATCTACCAAAAGCTGAAATATCAGTTTTGGGTGCACTGACTCTGTAAATACATTTAACTGTACCATTAACAACCCATCATTTCATGTTTAAATCTTACCTTTACCCTTTTTCCATAAATAGCATGTATGCCTATTTTTTACTATTCTTTTTCCCCATAACATCTTACATTGACAAAAACAAGCTTATGTTGTCCAGTCAGGGGCGGACTGACAACTCATGGGGCCCCCGGACAACAGGGGATCATGGGGCCCCTGTGTCCTTGCCCAAACTCAAAAAAGCCTATGAAAAAGGTACCAGGGGCATTTCATGGGGCCCCCTACTGACCCCGGGCCCTCGGGCAGTGCCCAAGTTTCCAAATGGTCAGTCCACCCGTGTCCAGTTATTAATTACAGATTATGTGGAGAGTGACTGCATTCAGACATGCCATGTGCCAAGTGAAAACAAAATGTCACAAGAAAAATTTGTAAAATTGTTGCCTGGCTTGCAAGTTTTGGAGTGTGGTTAACAATATGATTGTCACAACCCAACATCTAAGAGATCTTTTATCACCTTTAGATACTTGAAATTTCAATCTAGCCTAACCTATTTCAGGCTGTTTTAATATTTAGGAGTGCCAGTGAAAACCTGTTACCAGTCATGTAAAAAGGGCCAGTCCACCCATAACGGATATTCAATTATGCACAGATTCTGAAAGACTGACTCTTACACTGGCATTTCTATCTCTCGAAAAACCGTCCAGAAAAATAAAATGTATAATGAATAAATACACTAATTTATTCCAATGAAATGGAATACTTTTCATTGGAGTATATGTGAATGCTCTCCATAATTTTCAAAGTAGGAAGGGAAGTCTGGAACTGAGGTACAGAGATCTTTCCACCAGAGTTCTTAAGAGATACAATAAATTGGTATATAATTTAATGTCCTAAAATCTATCCAATGGAAATATCAGCTATGGGTAGGATAGCCAATAAAGTCTGTAAAAGGACTCATGACAGTATGGTCAATTAACCCTTCCACTGCCTCAAGAGGAAGCTAAGCTCTGTGCAAGAAACTCTAACCCCACAATAACAACTTGATTTATTTGGATTTATAGTGAACTGTCAGATAGTAGAGTGGTTATGCTTGGGCACCTGGAGCAATGCTAAACCCCCACTTCATTAACACTGCCACTAGGTATGGATATTGTAGTGCAACAGGTATCGGCATTAGCTGTGCATAGTGCTAATGTTATATTTTCCCGTAGAGCCTTCATTCAGACTTGCTACAAAGCGATCACCCCTGGACAGAGCGAATGTTCCCAGACTTCCCCGTGGTTCTGGCAATATGACACATCAGATTATCTGGGATGCTGTGGGTGACCAAGTGCTTGGGTTTTACAGAATCTTAGCAATGCCTTTGTAACTAACTTGTGTTTTTTTAAGCAACCCTGTTGCTATAGAGCACTTTTTAAATCAAGGCATACCTGTAATAGAACACGGACAGACCCTGCTCTGCTCTATGGGCAAAAAGAGCAAAAGGATTGTCAGATTACACCTGACTGCCCTCCAATCAGATCCACCTAGACAGAGGGGGACAGATCCCCTTCTGTTTTTTTTTTTTTTTTAGTGGTCCTGATGGTAGGTGGGTGTAAATAAACACAAGTCTGTTTACAGCCACCGTTTTATATAAGGATGCATGGACCTTCCGATCAGGTCAACCTGAAAAACTGACAGACAAAGCTGATCAGAATGGCCGTGGGAGAGGAGCCCTAAAGACAACTGTGAGAGATGTTTCTAATAACATAGCCTAGCAGCAACTGTTCATATGTGCACTGTCATTATTTGAGATTACCTACAATGCCAAATTAAATAAAAAAGGAAAAAAAATCTTAGCTCTGAATGTGTTTTAAAAAAAAAAAAAAAAAAAAAAAAAAAAGGACACCGCCATTATGCCTGTGCCTCCGATTCATTCAAAGTTGAAGCAGTTGAAATTTCCAAATTGGTAATTTGGAAAAATCCAGCTCTATACCCTTCCTCTTATATTGTAAGCTCTAACGAGCAGGACCCTCTGTTTCCTCTTGTACCAAATTGTATTGTAACTAATGTCTACCTTCATTTTGTAAAGCGCTGTGCAAACTGTTGGCGTTATATACATCTTGTATTATAATAATATGTTTAAGTGGGGCACAGTGAATTACAGTCAGGTCCATAAATATTGGGACATCGACACAATTCTAACATTTTTTGCTCTATACACCACCAAAATGGATTTGAAATGAAACGAACAAGATGTGCTTTAACTGCAGACCGTCAGCTTTAATTTGAGGGTATTTACATCCAAATCAGGTGAACGGTGTAGGAATTACAATAGTTTGCATATGTGCCTCCCACTTGTTAAGGGACCAAAAGTAATGGGACAGAATAATAATCATAAATCAAACTTTCACTTTTTATTACTTGGTTGCAAATCCTTTGCAGTCAATTACAGCCTGAAGTCTGGAATGCATAGACATCACCAGACGCTGGGTTTCATCCCTGGTGATGCTCTGCCAAGCCTCTACTGCAACTGTCTTCAGTTCCTGCTTGTTCTTGGGGCATTTTCCCTTCAGTTTTGTCTTCAGCAAGTGAAATGCATGCTCAATCGGATTCAGGTCAAGTGATTGACTTGGCCATTGCATAACATTCCACTTCTTTCCCTTAAAAAACTCTTTGGTTGCTTTTGCAGTATGCTTTGGGTCATTGTCCATCTGCACTGTGAAGCGGCGTCCAATGAGTTGTGAAGCATTTGGCTGCATGTGAGCAGATAATATTGCCCGAAACACTTCAGAATTCATCCTGCTGCTTTTGTCAGCAGTCATATTATCAATAAATACAATAGAACCAGTTCCATTGGCAGCCATACATGCCCACGCCATGACATTACCACCACCATGCTTCACTGATGAGGTGATATGCTTAGGATCATGAGCAGTTCCTTTCCTTCTCCATACTCTTCTCTTCCCATCACTCTGGTACAAGTTGATCTTGGTCTCATCTGTCCATAGGATGTTGTTCCAGAACTGTGAAGGCTTTTTTAGATGTCGTTTGGCAAGCTCTAATCTGGCCTTCCTGTTTTTGAGGCTCACCAATGGTTTACATCTTGTGGCGAACCCTCTGTATTCACTCTGGTGAAGTCTTCTCTTGATTGTTGACTTTGACACACATACACCTACCTCCTGGAGAGTGTTCTTGATCTGGCCAACTGTTGTGAAGGGTGTTTGCTTCACCAGGGAAAGAATTCTTCGGTCATCCACCACAGTTGTTTTCCGTGGTCTTCCGGGTCTTTTGGTGTTGCTGAGCTCACCGGTGCGTTCCTTCTTTTTAAGAATGTTCCAAACAGGTGTTTTGGCCACGCCTAATGTTTTTGCTATCTCTCTGATGGGTTTGTTTTGTTTTTTCAGCCTAATGATGGCTTGCTTCAGTGATAGTGACAGTTCTTTGGATCTCATCTTGAGAGTTGACCGCAACAGATTCCAAATGCAAATAGCACACTTGAAATGAACTCTGGACCTTTTATCTGCTCATTGTAATTGGGATAATGAGGGAATAACACACACCTGGCCATGGAACAGCTGAGAAACCAATTGTCCCATTACTTTTGGTCCCTTAACAAGTGGGAGGCACATATGCAAACTGTTGTAATTCCTACACCGTTCACCTGATTTGGATGTAAATACCCTCAAATTAAGCTGACAGTCTGCAGTTTAAGCACATCTTGTTCGTTTCATTTCAAATCCATTGTGGTGGTGTATAGAGCCAAAAATGTTAGAATTGTGTCGATGTCCCAATATTTATGGACCTGACTGTATATACACAGTTTGCCACAGGTCAATGCAATGGTCAACGGACTATGTCCTGCTAATTTGCAATAAAAAAAAAAAAAAAAAAAAAAAAAAAAAGTTTTGCATCACTGTCACAACTCTATGTTCATAACCAGATATAGCTTTTCATGCATTTCTGGGAACATTCAGAAAGTACAGCAGTTAGTTGAGCCAGGACACACATTGGACATGGCATGGATCCCCTTTAGCTAGACCAGATTTAATCAGCTGAACTGTAAACTGTGAGAACAAAGTTGTGAAAACCAGACACCTGACAAATGAGTCCTTATATAATAATAATAAATCATCAAGAGACAATGCTGAGAGTTTTCCAAAAATCCCATTCATTTGCTCTTAGAATGGTCTTCCATCACGTTCACTGCAAGCTAATCAGCTATAGAAGTAATTATTTCTCCTTCTGTCTCCCAGTAACAGTATGTATTTATACACTATTGGCAGGGGCTGCCCTGCAGGCAGACTCAACATGTGGAATTTGTACAACCTTCGCTCATTGCCTCAACAAGCTAGATATTTACTGAACAGCTGCAGAATTATTCTAACCCCAGGTGACTGCTAGCTGGAACACTGTCAGTGATCCACATAAGCATTTATTTCCAAACTGTGTAAATGCTTCACTGATAGAGCCGGCTAATGAAGCTCACTTTATCTGTTCAAAAATTTACAAAATCTAAAGTAGCCATTTAGACTACATTTTTATATTTGCAAAAAAAAAAAAAAAACAATTCATTTCAATCTCTATGTAAGAATAAATGTGCATTTAATGTAATTTATCCATGTTAATTACCTTGTAAAACTGTCCCTTGTGTACATATTCAAAAGCACTGAGACTGCTGCTGGGAGCTGTCATCTTGGATGGGATTTCATCAGTCCCAGCAGACCCAGAGCTGTCACTCAACTGACACTCAGTAGTAGTCCCCTTCACTCCCTTCATCCCTGACAATTACATAAAATTTGTGCTGGCCCAGCTCCATTCCTCATCTCTTATAGACAGTAATGACACACTTCCAGAAGAGGAGAGGGTCATGACAGGCAAGAAGGATTGGGACTATAGAACTGACATTTCCTAAAGAAGTCAAATTTGCTAGCAAGTACGGGGAATGTTGCAAGTCAATGCAAAATAGTTTGCAGGAAAGAAAAATACACTGCAAGTAAGCATTAAACATTTGATTTATCTGTGCTCCTATCTGCCATTTTTAGAGCTGGTTACAGGGTCTATTTAACTTAAGCCTCATTTCACTTTTTACAAATGCTAAATTGTCAGGTTTTACTGTATACACCTATCCACAGATATAATGAGTAGTCAGAGGTGTAGGAGGGATTCGCCTGTCATCAATGCATCTTCTGTAAAGTACAATTATGTTTATGTGACAATATGTACCATAAAACACTGTTGGTGCTGAACTGTCTTTGCATGTTTAACCACCAGAAGGATTTACCCCCTTCAAGACCGAGCTATTTTTCCTATTTAGCACTATGCTAATTTAACTGGCAATTGCTCAGTCATGCAACGCTGTACCCAAATGAAAGTTATATAATTTTTTCACGCAAATGGTGCTTTCTTTTGGTGGCATTTGATCACCACTGAGTTTTTTTTTTTTTTTTGTGATATAAACAAAAAAAGACAAAGAAATGTTTTACAAATTAAATTCATACATTTTGGTTAAATTATATTCTGCTACATGTCTTTGGTAAAAAAAAAATCCCAATAAGCGTATAGTGATTGGTTTGCATTAAAGTTTTACTGTCTACAAACTATGGTATATATATATATATATATATATATATATATATATTTTTTTTTTTATACTGCTAATGGCGGTGATCAGTGACTTATAATGGTATTGCAATAGTGTGGTGGCCAATTTGACACTAACTGTTGCTGAGGAGAACTGACTGACACTGACCTATCCAGTGATCATTGATAATACTATAAAATGGTCACTGTACTAATGACACTGGCTGGGAAAGGGTTAACATTTAGGGCGATCAAGAGGTTGACTGTGTGCCCAACAATATACGTGCTGCTTTGCAGAGATAAACAGAGAGATCGTTCCCTCTGAACAGAGCCCTGTGTTGATTTTCAACACAAGGCTCTGGCCTGTGATTGCACACAGTTGATCTGCAGGTCCCAGCCATGAATCATTGGCCAGGACCTGCTGAGAGACAGGTTGCCGTCGGGGGGAGGGGGGGGGCAGGCCTGCATGCGCAGCGTTTTACAATATATGGGGGGAATTACAATACAGTTTAATACAGAATGAATAGGTAAATATTCGATTGGGAAACTTTCACACAGTCCCCTACTGCCTACAGCTGCTGATCAACAACAGTTTTCCAGCATGTCCCTTCAAAAGATGTCGATCAAGTGATCAATATTGGCTGAGCAGGGATGGCCACACACTTACTGAAATTTGCCTGGTTCCTGCTAAACTGGCCAAATTTCGATCAGTGTATGACCAGCTTAAGATATGTGGGACATTTAGTTAGGTCCACAGTACACAGAAGACCCTTGATGAGGGACTTTTTTTACTTTTTTTTTTTTTTAACGCAATAATGGTTGAACTGGATGGATTTTTTTGTCTTTTTTCAGCCAGACTAACTATGTAACTATGACTGTGGCTTACGCATGTATTTCACGCAAATGTGTGCAAATAAAACCCTCTGTTTTTCATATACAGCAAACTGTTAGACAAGGCCAAATAGTTTTTTTGTTAGCAAGCTGGCTGGTAAGTGCTGCTGGGAAATCTTGTGTTTGTCTTGTGATGTGGGACAAGGTATGCTGCAGACTCGTCCCCACCAACTTATCAAGAGTAGTGATTGAACAATGTTTAATTTGTGATTGCCAATTTGTCGATGAGTCTCCACCTGTGGTGTTTGCTAGCAGACATAATGCCCAAAAACAGCCAGGTCAGAGACTTGAATATGTCTAAACCCAGCCATAGATGGTTCAAATCGTCTATGGGCAGGCTGATTGTACCCAATTCGATTGCTGTACGACTCGGGTAGAACCAGCCTGTTGGATTTTTCATGTGAATTATTGCTAGCTGCTATAGTCCCTAGCAGGGGCGGACTGACCATTTGGAAACTCGGGCACTGCCCGAGGGCCTGGGGTCAGTAGGGGGCCCCATGAGATGCCCCTGGTACCTATTTCATAGGCTTTTTTGAGTTTGGGCAAGGACACAGGGGCCCCATGATTCCGTATTGCCCGGGGGTCCCATGAGTTGTCATTCCGCCCCTGGTCCCTAGCAATAATCACTGTGTTCTCCCAGCAGGGAAGGCTTCACAATATCACTCTGTGGGACAGATTCCCAGGTTGCAGGAAAGAAAATTGCTCAATTCCCCCATCAACACAGTTAGCATCGATGGGGGAATTGAGTGATTTTCTTTTCTGCAACCCTTGGTGGTAGGAAAGAATTGCATCATCTATAGCTGGCTTTTTGCTACCCTAGAGTACCCAAAAAAATAATATATACTGGTCAGATGCATTTTGATTCACTGCACTAAGGAATTATCACTTTGACAGAATGAAGTTGATCATTCCTACAGGTGCTTTAACAAAATCTAGCCATGACTATCTACAGCACGGGTGTCAAACTGGCGGCCCTCTGGCTGTTGCCAAACTACAAGTCCCATGAGGCAATGAGGCATTGCAAGATTGACAGTTACAAGCATGATTCCCAAAGGTAGAGGCATGATGGGACTTGTAGTTTTCGCAACTGCTGGAGGGCTGCCAGTTTGACACCCCTGATCTACAGTATCTCTAGGGCGTTATTAAGCCCCTTACTGAATGGTTGTTAGATATACTAGTACTGTACTTTTCAGACAGGCACTTCATGTTGGATCAACAGAAGCACTCCATTCAACAGTATTTGTTTTTTCGCTTTCTCCTTTGCGCAAAGCTCTGGCCTTGTTCAAACACATAAAAAAACACATGCAGGAGTGTACAGTGTATTATTCTTACCAAGGCTGTTAAACACAAACCGGCGGTCTGAAAGTGAGCCACTGCAACATAAAACAAAAGGGGAGCAGCGATTAGTACAAACAAGACAAAGCATTCTTTCACAAAGCGGTTAATCTCATTATCTGGGAGTTATAAAGCATTGCTCCTATCGGTGTCTCCACTAGAGATGACAGATGATTATTGAACACGACTCCTCTTTAGTCTTCAAAGGCCTTTGCCCCACGTCTGTTTGCATAGTGTCCTCTCATTGTCACGGATCATTGTCATGTTTGCCGAGTATTCATTTAAAGTGCCATCTCCTGGCGATTTAACAGCTGCTCTAATGACAGCATCTTCTCAGATGGGAACATGCCAATATGACTGTCATATGGTGAGTGGTAGTCTTCATCTTCCAGAATAATAATTCTACTGAAGTAATAAACCCAGGCATGAGGGGTTCTGAATGTTCCATCAGGAATCATTGGGCACTCAAATGTATTTTATAATCCACTAGATTATGGGGTTAATTTACCGAAACTGGAGAGAGCAATTTTAGTAAATCAACCCCTATGTGTCTGGTGGGGTTATACTGAAATGGTCAGGTGATTTTGTTTGAATCATATGCTTTTTCACCTTTTAGTGATTAAATAGCCATTTGTATAATGAAAGATTTCTCTCATTACTTATCTATGGCAAAAAACTGTAATTTACAAATGACTCTGTCAGTGTTTGCAGTCATCCGAGGTTTGTGTGAACATTTGACTCAAGCAGTGAATGTTACATCATTAAGATTTGGCGATCAGTGTCTACGGTCCATTATCCTACTCAAGTATTGCACATTATATGAATCTTCATAAGATAGCCTATGAACAAAGCTTTCTTCGGATTTAAAGTGTAGCCCTAGGCAAAACCTGTTTTTTTTGGACAGAGTGGGGAAAGATTAGACCCTCGGCCATGTTTTTGTGTTGCCGTTTTCTCACTGGGGGATTAACCACCTTACCACCTCTATTTGTACCAAGGCCGGATCTAGGGGGGTGCTGGGGTGGGCAATGCCCACCAGATTTTAGTTGTGCTCCCTCAAAGCCAACCCTAATCTGCCACTATACTGCAAGTATACTAACCTAACCTGCCACTATGCTGCCCTAAATTGACACAATACAACCCTAATCTGATACTTTACTGCTCTAGTTTGACATTACACTGCCCTGTCCTGAAACTATACTGTCCTTGACTGACACTATGCTGATCACAGTTATGCATTGTGTGCGGAGGAGGAGCTCTGCTGCCTGTGCCCAGGCTGTGTGCAGTACAGCGATGAGAGAGAGCTGTGCCCCTGTCCTCTTGCCCTGCCAGCCGTGACCCCTGTCCTCCTGCCCTGCCAGCCGTGACCCCTGTCCTCCTGCCCTGCCAGCCGTGACCCCTGCCCTGCCAGCCGTGACCCCTGCCCTGCCAGCCGTGACCCCTGTCCTCCTGCCCTGTCAGCCGTGACCCCTGTCCTCCTGCCCTGCCAGCCGTGACCCCTGTCCTCCTGCCCTGCCCCCTGTCCTCCTGCCCTGCCAGCCGTGACCCCTGTCCTCCTGCCCTGCCAGCCGTGACCCCTGTCCTCCTGCCCTGCCAGCCGTGACCCCTGTCCTCTGCCCTGCCAGCCGTGACCCCTGTCCTCTGCCCTGCCAGCCGTGACCCCTGTCTCTGCCCTGCTGACCTCCCATCCTCTGCCCTGCTGACGTTTTTTACTGCACCCCCACATCAGACAGGTTAGAACCGGCCCTGATTTGTACTGAAGGCCATTACTACCTATCACAGAGAAAGACATTTTTTCAGCTGTCCCCAGAGCAGGAGATGATGGGAAATCTACCAATGGGGACACCTGTTCAGGAACAACGGTCTAATTCTAGTCACTTTGGGAGATTTCCTTACCGCTGCATCTCTGTGACAGGGATTGAAGGGAAATTTCCCCTATAAAAAAAAACTGGCAGAGACTTTAACTCTTCCCTGTTCTATTTGCTCTTTATGCTTGATACAGACATTTACTGTGATACAAATGAACATATGAACATATGAACGTCTTGCCAGTAATGGAAACAAACCAATTAGTTTAGTGCATGATACTGCAGTCTGTTTAAAACAGTCTATGTTAACAAAAAGCAATATATTCCAGATTCTGGTTATGCTGTATAGTGCTGATAAGAAAAATCCAGATGACTGCCTTGCTTTCATACACAAAAAGGCCAGTGCTGTTAAGTGACAGGTGTTAAACAATACATTAGTGCAGGGCTTAAAATTTCAAGTCCTGAGCTACTAGCCAGGCCTTAAGAGTTACTCGCCACCAGTTGCCCCACCCAAACCCTTACCCTGCCTCACCCCTAATGCCGCCCCTAAACACACCCTAAAATTCTTTCATGAAATGACACTGTTAAATGTTACCCACATTAAATCAGGGTCCCCAGAGTCCCCCCACATTACATCAAGGCCTCCAATGTCCCCCTAAACACTCCATCATACTTAGACCATGCACCGTATACAACCATAACCCCCCATAATCTTTCACTCACAAAACCATAACTCTACCAAGCATATCCTACCTACTATCCAACCCAGCAGTACTTCAAATGTCCCATACTCTACCACCCATAATAACCACATCATCCTGAACCTGACCAAACCACCCATACATGAAGGTTTACATACAGACACATGTACATACACACACAGACAGACACCTGTACACACATACAAACACACACAGTACACACACACACAGAAACATGTACACACACGCACAGAGACAAATGTACACACAGACACATGTACATACACACAGAAATACACACAGAAATACACACACACATGTGCATACACACATACACAGACACATGTGCATACACACATACACATGTGCATACACACATACACAGACACATGTGCATACACACACATCACACACAGACACATGACAAATGTACACACACACACAGACACACACACACACATGTGCATACACACACACACAGACAAATGTGCATACACACATACACAGACACATGTGCATACACACATACACACACACAGATACATGTACAGATACACACACACAGATACATGTACATACATACATACATACATACATACATACACACACACTCACACACAGCCCTATAAAAATTTGCAGTATATCGTTAACTTCACTCACAGAGCCGGGTACTGCCCTCTAGGGGGAGGCAGAGAGCACATCACACACTTCTTCCTTTGCTTTCATTTTGCTCAACTATTGAGCACTCTGACGGCCCCCAGTGCAAGTGACAGATCTGGCCCTGAGTTCCGAGCCTGCTCAGCAAGACGGCCCTGGGGGACACACTCGCCCCCACCATAAATTTCCACCCAATGCGACCAGGCGAGTGGAAATTTCAAGCCCTGCATTAGTGTGTACAATATTACAAGGCAATGCACTTTTGAATGTTTTTTTATATACATGTAAAATGTAAAAAAAAAAAAAAAAAAAAAAATCAGCTTGATGTAAATATCAACATGTGTTTTAACATACTTTGTTTCTTTCCAGAGTGGTTGTATTTTACTGCTCCTTCTCACAAGTCTATATGTTGGTTGAGTGCTGCAAATTGAACATTTTCTCCCTCCAGTGGCTAATCTACAAATCTTTGCATTTTTAAAGCTGACCTTGCACTCCATGCAAACTATGCCTAACTAGTAAAGGCCCCATCCCCATATTTTAAAATGCTACAAAAACAAACAAAAAAACATCTGTTATTAGGTGTAGTGGATGGGGAAGCTAGGTAAAGAAAATATTTACCCTTCCCCTGTCTTCCACTGTGCACATTGTGCATTCTGCATCCTATGGTTGATATCCTGGGAAATGCCAAGTACCCCAAATCTTATGAGATGATTCTACAGAACAGTGCAGTAGCATCTTCTAGCAAGGTTTTGACTACTTTTTATTCCCCAAAATGTTGGCCACATCGTCACCATGGGTGGAAGTGGGTGTATTAATAGACTTCTCCCGTCCTTTCCCACATGTGTTATATAGTTAGTCCTGGCTGAAAAACATCCATCTAGTTCAACCATAAAGGGAAAAACAAAAAAAAAATTCCCATTTATTTTTTAATATTCTACACTCACAGTTGATCCAGAGGAAGGCAAAAAAAAAAAACCTAGCAAAGCATGATCCAATTTGCTCCTGCAGGGGAAAAAAAATCCTTCCTGATTCCCCCCCTCCGAAAAGATATTGGATTTGAGATTTTCTGGATCAACTTTACCTATAAATGTTAGTATCCAGTTATATTATGTGTATCTAGGAAAAAATCCAAACCTTTTATTAAAAGCGAAGTATGGGAATATATATATATATATTTTTTAATCATACTTACCTAGTGGATGCAGCATTGGTCCAATTCTGCATCTGTCCCCTAGAAGCTCTGAGGCCGAGAGCTCAGCGATCACATGACTGCTGATCACTGAGTTCTCATGGCCTCTCTGAGCAGAGATTGATGACTGTCAGTCTATTCCACATTCTCACAGCTCTTACTGTGAAGAAACCTTTCCGTGTTTGGAGATTAAATTTCTTTTCCTCCAGACGTAAAAAGTGCCCCCTTGTCCTCTGTGATGACCTCAGGGTGAATAGCTCTACACCGAGTTCACTATATGAACCACTGATGTACTTCTACACGTTGATCATATCCCCCCTTAATCTCCTTTTCTCAAGAGATAATAAATTCAGTTCCTCTAATCTTTCCTCATAGCTGAGCTCCTCCATGCCTCTTATCAGTCTGGTTGACCTTCTCTGCACCTTCGCCAGTTCCCAGATATCCTTTTTGTGAATTAGTACCCACAATTGAATTGCATATTTGTTTGTTTTGCAGAAATTTGAAATTTAGGGGATGGGGGTGCCTAACTAAATAAGTGGACCTTCCACTTTAATAACACGCCTGTAAAAATGTGAACCCCACATCAAAAATGACTTTAGGGTAAATTTTGCAATAAAACATGTAATCAGTAAAAAATATGCTTCCATCCCTTTAATAAAAATACCCAGCAGAGTGAAGGTGCTAGAACAAGGACTTCCAGTCTGTAAAAGCAGAACAGACACACAGCCACGGCCATCTGTACTAGATTTGGAAGGCCCTTTAGCATTTAACCCCTAACAATACCCATTATGTGTCTGTGAAAGAAGACACTATTGTATGCCCACACGGTAGAAAAGGACTGCAAATTACTTCCAAGCCAGCGGAATGATCAGACTGGAATGGCAAGGTCAGGTCTATACAGTAAGAAAGCCATTCATGATTTGACATCATTACAACTCGTACTTCCAGCCTGGCTACACATTGACATGTCAGGGAGATCATTAGAGAACAAGTGACTAAATGTGAAAGTTTAAGCCAGGAAAAAGCTGAACATTAAATGTAAGCTGAACTGAAAACTGCAAACACAGACATTAACTACATGGGGTTATCTGCCCATAGGCATTTGTAAAGCCTAACATCTATGTTAAAAAAAGCACCTGTCACGTTTTGTCAATACATTTTATTAAAGGCATGGTGCATAGTTATATAGCGATGCATACTTTGATCTTTCATCTGAAGTGACACCTGCTTCAACATTTCTGAAATAATCTTTAAATCGAAGCGAAACATGTTGTCAAATATGACTACATAATCATTGCCCTCAATGTTCACACTGGTAAGGTTTTGACATTAGATGTGAGACTTGGAGTCCCCAATAGGCTGACCTGTGGGCTCACGTAGGGCTAACATTAGTGGTAGCTGAAAGCATAACTACAGCCAAAACTGTTTTGAACAGATTCAGAAAGAGCTAGACTCTGTCAGATATTATTGCTGTGTCCCTGTTGGAGAAATGGGTTTACAGGGAGGGAAAGTGGTTTATTATATTTTAGCTTCTTAGATGTTGTGGCTGCAATAGTTTTCTTTTTTTCCTTTTTCTTTTTTTTTTTATTCAGACTTTTTTCACCTGGTGATCCAGCCAGTAAAGCTGCTGACATTAGTTCGTTTTTATCAACCAGCAGGCTGAATGAAAAAATAATACTGATCCATTCCCCCCATCCACACATTCAATGTGGATGGGGGAAACCTCCCCACTTAGATATTGTATTCTGAGAGCAGGGGAACTTCCCTGCCATCAGAGTACGCTGATCAGCGCTGCAGTCTATAGCCTGCATTGCTGATTGAGCGTCTAAAATCCAACAAGCGGTTGTAGAGAAGTCAATCAGTAGATCTACCTCTGTTCAACCAGGATGCCCATGCTTGGATTAACATTAAGCTAGTTAAGCATGTATGGCCAGCATAAGTGGCAGATAGAGAATTGAGACAAACCATTTTAACAATGGCAGTGGTGCTCAATGGTCAGATTTTATCCCAAAAAAACCCCCAAAAAAACAAAACAAAAAAAGAAAAAAAACCCACACAGTTGCTGTAACTGCATAAAAAGTGGTTTGCTGGAGTTCAGCTTTGTTAGTCAAGTCCATCTAACAGTGCTGCTGTTCAAGGCTGCCTCTGTTGTTCCATTACTGGAGAGGAGATACTCTAAGGCTGGCCATAGATGATGCAATTTTCTTTCCTTCAACCACATGTTGAAGGAAAGAAAATAGTTTTTTCCCCATCAACACAGTCAGTGCTGATAAGGGAATCCTTCCTGCTGCGCTACAGTATTATGAGAATGGGAGGTTTCCCCACTGTCAGAATACAATGATCACTGCTGATGGCTATATCCACTGGCAGTGATTGTACAAAAAAATGACAGGCTGGTTGATCAATAGGTTGACTTCAGTACAACCAGCCTTTCCAAAGATCCAATTCCTGCTGAATTTCAATCCGCCTATGGCTGGCTGCAAACATTTTACTGCTGTTTTTAACGACAAAACAAAGTTCCTAAACTGTCTTCTTTTTGTAACTTTAAATATCGCTGAGTTAAAACAAAGGACAAAATGAACTTTAGTTTTGCTAATCACAGGTGATCCATCTATGGCTGGCTTTAGACAGGAAGCGTGTTACTGGTCAGACCACCAGGTGAAAACAAAGGACAAAATATAACGCACCCACCACATTTAGGCTGCTTTCACACTGATCCATTTTTCTTCCGCTGTTACGTTAAAAAAAAAGCTGACGAAAACCGCTTGACCATGTATTCCTATGGAACTCTTCACACTGATCCGTTGTGCGTTTTTCTAAGTCCTGCTTGCTGCATTTATGGTGCAGTAAAGTAACCAAACCAAAAATGCACCTTCCCAGGGGCGGACTGACCATTTGGAAACTCGGGCACTGCCCGAGGGCCCGGAGTCAGTAGGGGGCCCCATGAGATGCCCCTGGTACCTTTTTAATAGGCTTTTTTGAGTTTGGGCAAGGACACAGGGGCCCCATGATCTCCTATTGCCCGGGGGCCCCATGAGTTGTCAGTCCGCCCCTGCACCTCCCCATTAAAATCAATTAAAAACATGGCAAAAATGCATCAAATACACACTCGCGGTGCATTTTGTAAGTCAGGTTATGTTAAAAATGCAACAAAAACTTTTTTGTCTGAAATCAGTGTGAAAGTAGTCTTTCGGACTGGTAAGTTGCAATATATTAAATCTTTGTTTATAATACTGCTTTAAGGCTGTTTGTGTCTTCCTGTCCCAATAACCTAATTCTCCTTGTGTCTGATCCAGGAACCATTGGGCCTGAAAATGAGAGGAAATCTCCCCAACAGAGTCAGACAGACATAAACATTCCCCACTCTATTAAGAATTAAACTCTTGGCATGTATTGGGCTTTCAAAAACAAAGCCGCAAAACAGCAAGTCACATAAGCCCAAAGGCAGGAGACCAGAAAACCTCAGCAACCCTCACTGTATATTTCTTCATAAGAAAACTCAGGGACCCTCCACTTTACCTACAGAGTAGACCTTTTTCTTCTCTACATGTGAGACTAGTTCATTTATTGGTATACAAGGAAAAAAAAAAAAAAATGTACATTTAATATTTAAGAAACTTTCAGAATAAAAGTCTGATCTATAAACAAAGTCAATTGTATTTCAATATATGTACACTTTCTTTGCTTAAAAAAAAAAAAGGGCTATGAGAAATTTAAAAAGCAGCAATTATTACTTACGCTTTTGAAAAAATTCCATTTGCCAGAACCCCTCGGTATCGACTTGCACCTTTCTGATGTGTCACATGAATTTGACCTCCAAGTTCATCTGCGATAACTCCCGCATGAACTGCAGCTTTGCAGAGCAAAGACGTCTGAAAGAAAAAATGCAAACCTTTTTTGTTTAATCTGTTATTAATACAAACATTTTAGATTGTTGTCCATTTATACTTCTAAAAAAAAAATATACATAGCATATTATAAAATAAAAAAACTCAATATTTGTTACTGATCCAGCATATCAAAACTAGGTAAAGTATCCATCTACAAAGCAGGTACTATCTAAAACAGACTGGCAGGAGTTATTTTTTTCTATTGTCATTATAAAAAAAAAAAATGCCAATTTCTATTGGTATGAGCACCCAAAAATACAAAGATAACCCCAACCATTGTTTTTAAGATATTTATTTATTTCAGGTACTTATACAGCACTGTCAATTTGCGCATCTATATTGTACATTCACATCAGTCCCTAACCCTCAAGGGACGTACAATCTAAGGTCCCTAACTCACATTCACGCATACACATACTAGGGTCAATTTAGACAGGAGCCAATTAACCTACCAGCATGTTTTTGGAGTGTGGGAGGAAACCAGAGTACCCGGAGGAAACCCACGCAGGCACAGGGAGAACATGCAAACTGCAGGCAGGTGATGCCGTGGTTGGGATTCAAACAAACGACCTTAGTACTGCCAGGCAGAAGTGCTAACCATTTAGCCAATGTGCTGCCCATATAGATATATTTTTTCACAGTGCCAAGATCCCAGCACTAGGATCAACGTATTTTTTGTAGAGAAATATATTGAATCTTATTCATTTCCTTACTGTAGATCGGCCTTTCCCAATTTTTTTTCACCTTAGAGGAACCCTTGAAATCATTATCAGCTGTTTGGGAACCTCTGATAAAAACAATTCATTGGGGTCAGTGGGAAAAATGTCCCTTATATTGGTGGTCAGTGGGAAGCATGCCCCTCCTTACAGTGGTGGTCAGAATGCCACCCTTCACACAGCTAAAAAAGGTGTCATGCAGCTAACTCTACTAAGCAATATTGTAAAAAATGCTCATGCGCTACTGGACATGCAATACTTAACAAACAAAAAAAATATAAAATTAAATTATTGCAGCAGTCCCATACTTGTGCAATGTACCACAATTCATGTATAATAAAATTTAAACGGACCGCACATCAATATTTAACATATAATCATGTGCATGTATATCAAACATACAGCATAATTTGCCTTTAACAAAGTGCCAAATAGTTCAATGAGTGCATGTGCTCCACTTAATTGAAATGCTTAATTTCTTCAGTTAAATCAAAGTGCTCCACTGTGCTCAACAAAGTGCCCCACAGACTAGAACTCACCCTTAGCCAATGACCATCTATTTCTAGAGTGGTCTATAATGCTTGCGGGGCATTCCCCAATGGAACAGATGTCTCCAGATCTCCGCAAATATTAGAATAGGCAAGTGACCAAAAAAGGTGTACCTTTGGTATTTTATTGAACGGTAAAAAATCTCACTCACAAATAAAGTGACTATGCCCGGCACCTGGTGTACTCAGCCTTATTGTTCCTATTCGGTGGAAGCCGCTGTACCAAACGCTCCTCACAGCGGTGTGTGTTTCCATAGGGCGGATGTGACGTCGGAAATTACGTCATCAAATCTCGACACGTTTTGATCAAAGATCATCCTCAGGAAGTGCCTCTGCTAAGTGGCATTGGCACTGGAACTATGCAGGTGCCATGAAAATGGGAGGTCAATCAGACACAGGTCATAGAACTCCTAGGAGCTTCTGGGGCATCTCTATGGTTCCACAGAACCCTGATTGATGATAGCTGCTGCAAATTATTATCCATGCGAGTATTAACCAATACAAGAAGAGACTTTCACGTTTTCGAGGCCAAAACATTGAACATGTTAAATGAGCATCATGCACAGTACAGAGTTCTAAAGCAGTGGAAGAGCATCACAAATTAATTAAACTCAAGAACACAAATACCAGTCCATTACAAGTCCTTTGATATGGGGGTTGCATTAGTTTCCCCTGGTGATCCTGCCTGTCCTAGGGTGAAAAAAACTCACTTACTGTACTGTATCTATGAAGAAGTAGCATGGTCACCCCATGACAAAGTATTAAAACTACACAAACACACCCCCAACCGCTTCTCTTCTCCACCATAAGGGCGAGGTGTTCTGTAGCCCATAGAGAAAAGTACAGTAGAAGCAGGGTGAACAAGAACTTACAACATTTTGGTAGAATCAACAGGTATTTTTGCACTTAATTACACCATTGAAATAATTTTGTTGTATGTGTTTAACAGATCAAAAAGGCGCAAATAAGTAGCTCATTGTTAGGGTTTAATGATTTTTCAAGCCATGCAGACAGGAATCTCAGACCAGGTAAGCTTTCATATGTTTTTTACTGAATATGCAGCAAAAACATGTTGTGATTTATCCTCTGAAAAGCCAGACTCTCCGATTTGGAAATGATCTTCCTAATGTAAAGACGGGGTGGCCTGTGTCAGGTGCATTCATCCAGTGATATTTCTTATGCAAGTAGAATGCAGTAGATTACTTCTAGGCATTCTGCCTGTCAGCTGTCCACTGATGTGTAAACTAGAGCACACAATACTAGCTGCAGATGGACAGCTCTGTGAACTGGAATAACAATGAAGCCACTCACAGCTGGATGACCTGGACTCATTCATTTGGATCAATGAAGCAACAATGCAGGCAACGTACTCATATGAACTTATTCTCTAGGCAAAAAGGCAAAAGTTGATTTCAATGGTTTCCTGACCGAAGTCATTAGATGGAGTTTCTACAAATTAGGAAATGCCTGCCATTCAATGTCAGCACACCAATTCTAATACTACTTTACAGTCTAAGTGCATTTCTTAGCAAAAGTTTGTGCATGGCGATAAAGTATATGCCTAAAGGCCCATACACATGATAAAAAAATCGTATGAAAACTGAATATCTGATTGTTAGTATAGTGCTTTCGACAGCCAATTCTGACTTTTTAGACGACAACAGAGGGTGCAAGCTAGAAAGTTTTTAATCACATGTGAACACAACGTCTGATTTTGGTTTAACCTCTTTGCACCGGTGCCTCCCGGCCCTTTAAGAGTTTCAGAAGCCAGGAGGCGGGCAGGGTTTTGGGGTCATGTGACCGCCGTAATTCGCCGTCATGACGGTCACATGATCGGAAAAGGTCCCAATCAAAAGGGGAGATCAGGACCTTTCCAGCAGTCAAGAACATATGTGCTGGGAGTGCGCAGGGTGCACACTCTCAGCACATATCTATTTTCTAATTGCACACAAATATGCGGCAGCTCGGCATCAAGGTCCAGATGACGAGAGGCCGCATATTTGTGTGCGCTCGGCGTCAAGGGGTTAACCACTTGCCTACCGGGCACTTCCTCCCCTTCCCTGCCCAGGCCAATTTTCAGCTTTCAGTGCTGCCGCCCTTTGAATGACATTTGCAACACTGTACCCATGTGAAATTTTTATAATTTTTTTACACACAAATAGAGCTCTGTTTTGGTGGTATTTAATCTCCACTGGGTGTTTTATTTTTTGCTAAACTAATGAATAAAACCCAAAAATTTTGGACCCCCCCCCCCCCCCCCCCCCCCCCCCCCCCACCCCCCCCCCCCCCCCCCCCCCCCCCCCACCCCCCCCCCCCCCCCGACATTTTTCTTTGTTTCGATTATAAAATTTTGCACTGATGTGCACTGATGAGGCAACACTGGTGGGCACTGATGAGCACTAGTAGGAAGCACTGATGAGCACTAGTAGGCAGCACTGAAGGGCACAAACCAGTAGCACTGGCTGGCAGCACTGATGGGCACTGATTGTCAGCACGGATAAACCCTGATTGGCATTGACGGGCAGCACTTATGGGCACTGTTGGGGCTGTATTGGTATGAAGGAGGTACTGCCGATAACCAGCAAGTGTTTTTACATTGTGATCAGCTGTGATTGGCCCTTTACCGTGATTGGTGATCAGCTGTGTCTGAAGGCTCAGGGAGAACGTCAACAAATGCCCTCCCAGAACTGGACGACCACACTGTAGCCATCATTCGGCTAAAGCACAGTTGGCAAGTGGTTAATGTGTACAGTAATCATATGGAAATAATCAAATAGAAAAAAAACTTGCATGATCAGAAGCAAATGACACTACAAGTCAATACCATTCCGACTACATCCTAATTTACACTTTTATGGAAAATCGCACGATTAGTTGTCCGATTTTCTTATAGTGTGTACTAAGCTTTACAATTTCATAGACCTTTAGCAGGGTCCAGTTACTCTAGGTGAAATGCAAAATAAATTGGCAGAGAATTTGTATGAATGGCAAAAGATTACACAATTTTCTTTACTTCCACCACAGATGGAAGAAAAGAAAATAGTTTGATTCCCCCATCAACACAGTCAGTATTGATGGGGGAATCCCTCCTGCATGGATATTGTTTTCTGCCGGTGGAGAGGCTTCCCTGCTGGCAGAACACAACGATTACTGCTAGTGGCTCGCCACCAACAGAGATTGCATGCAAAAAAATTCAACAGGCTGTATGGATTGACTTCAGTTCAACCAGCGTACCCATGGATGGATTGAATCTCAGCCAGTCAGCACACCAAGTACTGCACTGCTGAACTGGCCAAGATTTGATCCATCTTTGGCCAGCTTAAGACACTAGAGATTAGATAAAATGTTGGACAAGAGGAATTTATTCAGTCACCAAACAGTATTTTTTTCTTCCATGACACATTAATAGACATGCATTTTTCCATATACAAATATCTTTGTGCTACTGGGTCTCTGTACTTAGTAGAGAACAATTGATTGGTTGAGAAACCCAACCCAGCCCAATTGTTTTTCCACCAAGAAGTCCATTGCAAAGGTCGGTGGCTTCCCATAGTGTGCACAATTGCCATATGAACATAGTCATATATGGTATGAATGGAAAACACTTGAAAAACTAACAGCACCCATTCACTCCCCATGCATTGGTCATTAAAAAGTATGCAAAGAATCTGCAGCAGACAATAAACAAGGCACCTCTCAGCAACAACAACTTATATCT